GGGGGTATGTATAATTTTTTGGACTACACAATTACAATTTCCATAAACTTTCAAACTCTGTGTCTGCAAGCTGAACGCTGAAATTTGGTTTTTCGTTACTGCCAGTCAAACAGTCAAAAATATGAAAGGTACCACTGTGGCGGATTTAGGGGGGGGGGGGTTCATTGGGTGCAAATGAATCCCCCCCTCCCCCCACCGGCTTGTACCTTGGATTTTTTATATTTTTTTAAACAAAATAAATAAAAGTATGGTACTAACTCATGAGATTTAATATGACATGGGACTGGTGGATAGGTTATCCTTATCAGGAGCGCCCCTAGGCCAGTGATGAGCCTCATGGGAAAAATGATGATGCAAGAGAACGTTATTGTTGTGCCGAGATTTGCAAAAATGAACCCCCTCTGTTAAAGTCCTAGATCCGTCACTGTACAGACTGATTAGGTTTGATTGACAGCAGCAAAAACCAAATTTCATCTTGCAACTCGGAGACACAGAGTTCGCATGTTTGTGAAAATTGCAGTAATTGATGGCAAACAAAAAATTCAAAATGCTAGGATTTTCTTTTTTCTTGTATCATTTGTAATTTAAGTGGTACCCTGTGTTCTAACTGATATTTTCACTTCTTAATGCAGGGTTTTGTAGGACATTATGGCACATACCAGTCCATCATCCATGGTATTGCTAGTAACTTTGAGGGAAACTTGAAGAAAATACGCCGACAAATTTATCCCAGCCCCATGCCAACCTTTGGACCTAAACTGAAGAAAAGGTAGAGATAACTAGCTGAAAACTGTTTCTAATAAAAAAGTAATGATTAAAGGGTAAATATAAAAAGATGAAAAAACTTCCTGACGTTTCGGACGCTAGTCCCTCGTCGGAGTAAAAGCAAGAAAAGGCAGAGCTTTAATTATAATGCTTATATTAATAATAATTTGTAATTTCTTTTGCGGATACAAAAATTTCCGGATACGTGTGGACGGGGCCTTAGTGTGGACGGAGAACATTTTGCACCCGAAATTTTTCGAATACGATGACGTCATGATTGTCATGGGAAAATGGCGGGAAGGCTAAAAATTCACCGCGGGCTCAATTTCAGCTTCGATGCACATGCTCAGATGTGCAATGAAGCGTTTTTGCCGCCTCTGATCGGACTAGTGTGAACGCGAAAAATTTCTATTCGTTTTCATGTGTGGACGGAAAACTTTTTTTTCGGTTTCGGTGTGAAAGTTGCGGATTCAAATTTATCCGGCATAGTGTGGACGGGGCCTTAGGAATAGACTCAGTTGTTAAGAGCGTCGGTGTGTTTAGCTGGAGGTCGTGGTTCAAGCCTCGGCCCCACAATACTCAGGGTCTTAAAATAACTGAGGAGAAGGTGCTACCTTTGTAATTACATCTACAAATGGTTAGCCCTTCACGTGTCTCTGATGACCCCATAAATGGCGGTCCCGTCCCTAATATAAAACTAGAGATGTTAAAAAAGGACCACGAGTCTATCAGTTAAATTGCTGTCAAGTGCCATCCTCTATAAACAAAGTTAATTTTCTTGATTTATTTAGTATGAATATTTACGAAACTTGAACTTCATTTACATACCTGACGAAGACTTACAGTTTTGGAGTCGAATTCGTAATATATTTTTCAAACAACGTTTAGATCTTTAGACTTTTAAAATCTGTAACTAATTGTCATTATTTTTCTAATCATGTGCGACTTATATTCTGCCAATCTGTCAAGGGGTGCCGTATTTTACAGTAATGAGATCAATAAGTGGTGTATCCCTTTCCTTGGGTCTGACGTGTCCGTGGTTCGTCGATCGCAGCGTCATCGTGTTCAGGTCCTGAAGGAGAACGCTATTCAGTACGGTGCTTACATGGGTCTACCATCATTGGTTGCTATTTTGCTCCTCATGTTCTTTGGGGCTATTTTTGCCTTGTTGTGCCGCTTCCAATGGGGAAGAAACTTGCTGGAGAAGGTAACTCTTAACTTACTTGAAAATCAAATGTTAGCTAACTATGGTGGCATGTAGTGGAGGGCGTGATTTTGACTATACTAATGCGCATGCGCGTCAGGCTTGATCGGTCGTGCACGTTTGTCTGGTAACAATCTCGTGCCTAGAGCCTGCGTTACTCCTGGTAAGCACCTTGGCGGTAACGCAGGTTCTGGGGACGAAGTTTGTCTGGTAAAGCCTATTCTATTTTGCCATTTCGTTTCTGATCTAAGCGGTCTAGATAATTGTTTTACAACCCGGCAAAGTGTTTCCAACTTTATCTCGTATTTTTTTGTTTTTCCCAACAGCACCCTAGATTCTTCTCCTTTGGTATGTTCTCACACGAAGGACCCACTAAACAACAGGTGGGGCAATCGTTATTTGATTAGTAATGGGATTCCTGTGCTTTTACTTTTGGAGCTGAATGAGCCGCTATAGAACGATTTGCTTTGAGAACAAAAGTGCTGACACACGGTGCAATAAATGCACGGGGTGACACACATTGCAACAAAATCACGCAACATCGCTTGCGTCAGCCTGCTATGTTAAGATATTTGGTCAGCAGTTATAAATTTGGTGCAAACTGATTGGCTGGAAATTTCAAAATGTTGCAGGTAATGTTGCAGACATGTTCACATGATGAAATTTGTTGCGCGTAATGTTGCAAGAGTAGAGCGCAATTCAACTTCAGATTTTTTGCATGCAACGTTGCGTTCAAAAAATAGTTTGGCTAGTTCTAATTTCCCTCCCTAGCTTTAAAAATTAGATCGCTGGTAGTATAGATACATTTATGGAACGACACATGGACCATTATGATGCTTAAAAAATAGTGTTTTTCTTTTAATCCAGAGGGAAGAAACATCGTTTTCTTTCTTGTTCTGCGGTGCAGGGTATGGAAAAAAGACCGCTGGACTAAGGTATGCAAGTAATTGTAATAACGATGTGTTGAGTCAAAGTGAAAAGTCTGTAGCTTTGTGGCTAACAAAACTGTGGCCTTCATTTCACACATGAATTTGAATTTTGGACTGTTTTAGGGTGACATATTTTGAAGATGGTGCCTATTTCTTCTACTAGGGCCACGTGTTAGATAACTCTCTGGGTTAATTGTGTCACCCTCCTTTTTATTTTATTTTGTTTATTTTATTTTTTATTTTTATTTATTTTATTTTTTTGTTTTATTTTTATTCTTCTTGATAATGATTTTTGGAACTAACATTGCAGGCCCCTTCCTGCCAAACCTGACAGCCAGATTGTTGTAAAGGTCAATGGACCAGGTATGCATTTGTCATACTAATTAGAAACCATTGTGCTATTATTTATTGTCAGTAATATTTGCCATAGCGTCCTCCGCGGGCGTCTCTGAACGTATTCTCGGGGGTGGGCTTCCCATGGTGTAGTTAGATAAACATGACTGAGCGAGACAGGTATCCCAGGGATCAATAAACTGTGGACATTGTTCTTTCAGAGGCAGGTTACGTGGCCACACCCATCTGCATGGTACAAGCTGCCATGACTATTTTGGAAGACAAGTTGCCAAACAAGTATGTGCACTTCTATGCATAGGATAAACTATATGTGTAGACTATGAGTTGGTTATTAAGGGCATCGGTCTGTTCAGTGTAAAAGGTCGTGGTTAGAGCCTCGTGTTTCAAGCCTCAGTCGGACCAACTCTTAGGGTCTTAAGATAAATGAGGAGAAGGTGCTACGGTTTTTGAACGAGAGAATCGTTTTTGAAGCTGTACAGGAAGCTGGTAACTAATTAACCTTGCGTTGCATTCTGGGACTGAGCCGGAGACACTTCACTTGAAGCAAAGTCTAAGTCCTTAGTCATTGCAAACTTTTATTGTTGTGTCCATGAACTGCAGATGTAATCTCCCTAAATGAGCTTCTTTGTTGTCGAAGATGAAATTGGAGGGATATATATATCTTTTTTTTTCCTTGCAGAGGAGGTGTCCTCACTCCAGCAGCAGCGTTCTCTGGCACATCATTGATTGACCGACTGAACAAAAATGGAGTCAAGTTCTCTGTAGTCAGCACAACATTAGCTGAGTGAGAAAAATCTAAAACAGAGGCTACACAACCAGAGGTAGTTAGATAGGGCTGCAGTCAGTAATATAAAACACTTTCTGTTCATCTGACTTTTAGTTTAGTATACTATATGGTGACATATGGTGTCATGCTTGTGATTTGATAATGCTTATGATGATATATAATAATGTTGATGATGGCGATGAAAAGGAATATGATAATGTAATGATGGTTGTTAGTAGAAAGATGATCATAGTAAGGATGATGATAAGATGATGGCAACTGTAGTGCCCTTTCTCATTCTGTAAACACCACTGTGTTTCATGACCCAAGACTCATCTGCACAGGCTTAGCATCGCTTAAGAACAAATCATTTGCAAAAAGTCAACTTTAATGTAAAGAATGCGCAGCTTGAACAATACCTATAATTTGGAATCACACAGACTTTTGATGGTATCTATGAATAGCTGACTTATAAACGAGGCTAAGCCCGTGTAAATGAGCCTGTGGTGTTCAAAAACAGCGGTATACATCGAGACATTATGATACCTAAAATATGTCAATGCATGCTATTTATAGGAGTAAAGCATACTAAACCTGTTATAGGAAGATATGGTGGATTCTGTATCTCTAAGATCATGGGGGTGTTTACTGACATAAGGAAAATAAGTAATAGATACTTTTGAGTAAATTCGTATTTGCTTGGATTAAGATGACTACATATTAGATTAAATTCTGAAATTAAAGAAACTATGTTTAAATATATATATATATATAACTATTAGACCCATCCTTAAAAGTGGTTAACTTTATTCTGTAACCAGCCAAATATAGAAGTGGTTAACTTTGTTCTGTAACCAGCCAAATTTAGAAGTGTCATATTTTGGTTGATTGATCCTGCTAGTATTCATACTTGATCCTGCCTTTTTTTTGTTTTTTGTATTTTTGTTTGTTTGTTTTGTTTTGTTTTGTTTTGTTTGTATATGTTTTTTAAATCTGTCCTTATTTTTTTTATTTAATTACTCCCTTAATTTTCTTTATCATGATTTCTTGATTTTTGTTTATTTATATAACTTTTTTTTCTTATCAAAGATCACTATATCTGATTAAGTTCCACCATATTTTCCAAGATGATCTTTATAGATATGTAATTTAGTATAAGTATCATTCCATGTCCTGATATTCCCGAAGTTTTGTCCTATAATGTTTATCCAATTGTTCATTATCCATTTCTCTCCTCTAATGACATCACATCCACCATGATAAGACATCTGGTCCAGCCCTGCCAACCATCCTGTAGACTTATCTACCACGTGGTTATACCACATGACCGCCTTGCCTTTCTTTGGTGTCACTATGATGTTTGCTTTAGAGCAGTAGGCGCTGAGGTTGGAAAAGTTCTGTAACTGTTGATGCCATTTCTGAGAGAGGTAAATAGAAATATCGAGAGCTGAGCGGTGAACGTGGATCGTAAAGCATGAGTCTAGTGGACAATATGACTTGTAGGCACGTATACCAATGTTTCGGTCAAAAGGAAACAGAAAAAAAAAAAAAAAAGCTGGGTTACAGCAGCCTAGGAACCGCTAAAAGCGCTGTGCTGAAACAAAATTCATCGCTCATCTGGATTGGAAAAGGCGGCCTTTGGAAGGAACAAGTGGAGAATGGGCATTTTCGTCCCACGGGAATAGGGCAACGCTTTTATTAATTTGGGTACATAGTAACTCTACCAACATAAACAGAAAACATGGCAATATAGAGAGAAAATTATGAGATTAAAGTGAGTAAAAATTCATGCATTGCCAATCCCCCCCCCCCCCYTTTTTTTTTTGCATTCACAATCCTTGATCAACTTTCAGTAATATACTCTCCTTTCACACTTGTGGGTGTTATACATTTTCTAGCGTGTTTATATCGCAGAGTAGAAATGCGAGGATATTGAATCCAGTATGTGACTGATAAGCAGAAGCTTACCTTGTGATTAAAGGTTATGTTGTTTGCTATAGGGAAGGCTGTCTGTCCTCCTGTTTCAACATCACTTAAGAAATACATGATCGTGATGTACCTGGGAACAAAAAAAGGTTTCCAGTGCTTTTGGACTTTTTTTTTTTTTTTTTTTTTTTTTTTTTTTTTTTTTTTTTTTTTTTTTTTTTTTTTTTTTATCGAATAAGCAATTTTGAATGGAAAACAACCATGGTAATTAGCTGTCCTTGGACTCGTTCCCAGGTTACTCATTGTTAGCTATTTTATATCCAAAATGACGAACGCTCAGTCAGAGCTCACACACGTAGGCTAGTGGAAAAAAAATGTTCTTCCAAAATAGATAAATCACATATCTTCCTTTACAAAACTGTTTTTTAGTCGCTTTTTCATTTCTGTTGAAAAAATTAACCTTCACGTCGTGTATACATATATTGAAGATAGCTCACTTTACTTCAAAAAAATGGAGGATTTGGCTAGGCTACTCTCGTGGGAGAGGCACACGGCAGTAGCCTAGCCAGTAGTCAACTAGCCTTGGGACAAGGCTATAATGCTCTCAGTTACCTGCACACACGACATCCATCCTGAGATGAACGATGACAGCAAGGCTGTATGACGACAGGAGAATGCGAGTCATAATGACAGTGATAATGTCCCCCCTTGCCATACTTGATGACCTATTTGATAAAGATGGAAGATTTTATAAAGACTACAAAACGTCATGAAAACGATGGTACCTCCAGCCCGTACCCCTGTAGTAGCTAAGAGAACAATGTACCGGGGAGAAACGTTTTTGCATGCCTCTATTATGCTTCCGCTCTCACCAATGCGACCCGTGTTCGATACCCGGGGCTCGGGGTAGATTATTTATTTATCTTTTTTTTTTTTTTTTTTTTTTTTTTTTTTTCCATCCATCTCATTAAAATAAACGTTTTACTTTAATTTCGTTCTTTGGGCTAGTATGGAACATGGGGCTCTGTTACGTTGTGGTCGGTCCCACGCTGTGATATAATTGGCCAAATTTCATATTTTTTGACTGATGACAGCGAAAAACCAATTCAACATGCAGTTTGCATGTTTATGAAAATGAAAGTAATGCAAAGACGAGGAGTGGCTAGCTGATTGATCTTTTTTTTTTGTCTCTTACCACCGGTGTTTCGCTGCCTTCGATGACTTCAAGTGGTAGACCGGTTAATGCTGCTTTCCTGAAAATTACAATTAATAAAGTTGTTAGCGTTTGTTTCGTGCTTGTGATCAAAGGCAATGGCAGATATATTTTTGACTTTTGATGGCTAGTGGGGGAAGAATTGACATAATCCACTGTGTTCCCGCCCATTTCAGTCCACGTGTCATTCCCTAGAATATCATTCCTTTGTTTAACGGTTGCACAAAAGAGGACATTTGTCCATTCCATTATACTTGCCCTTATAGAACACGAACCGAAAAAAAGTGCTTCATAATCTAAATGATAACCCCAGACATGGATACGACCCTGTTCCTTTGGTCAATATACCTGAAATTAAGGTCTCTCAAGATATCGTCTTCCCACATGTCCAGCCACGTCTCGTTGCTATGACGACCTATGACTTTGGGATCTTTTAACCTCACTTGATCTATATATCCCATGAGTTTCTTCCCTTGAAATTCTTTCGGATGAATAAAACCTGAAACAATTTTAGGAACAACTCATTGCAAGATATTTTTTTGGAATAAAACAGATAAATCAATGCTTTATTGGCAACCTGTTTGCCATGAGCGCCTTAGATGTTATTTTACAAATGCAAGAAAATGATTTCTAAAATAATAAGTCTGGTATGGAATCGAAAGCGTTACATCCAAGTTGAAAGCTGTAATACATAAGCAGTTAGTCTATCCATAGTTACTATGGTCTATCGGTCTATCAAGCATCAGATTGTTGGATTTGTCATTAGTGTAAAAAAGAGTTTTTAAACTATTTTAACTTCTAAAAATATTAAAGATGATGTAGTTGTACCTTTTTTAATTTGCCCAATTTTCAGTGTTTGGAGCCTGCAATAACAAAGATCGTGTATAAACTACATTATAACCTCTAGTTAATACCCGAACCTCAGAATCACCTAATAATACCCTTTACAGACGTACGTTCCCAACGCAATCTTGAAAGGCGTAGCTGTGCCTTTGAATCGAAGCGAGACGAACGGTGAGCAAGACGGTCCTGTCAGTGCAATCTCACCGTTCGTCCCACTTCGATGCAAAGGCAAGGGTACCTTACTTTCAAAATGGCACAGGGAACTGTGAAAGGGACTATTATTACTCAACTTACATTTTGTCAATATCTTTGTCTGTAAAGTGCATGTCTCGAAGATATAGTAACTGAGCGAAAATCTGTAAAAAGAAGTCAAAAAACTATTCGTAAGTGAAAATACAATGTACTTTATTGAAATTAAATTCAAAGCTATCAGAATGTTACCTCGTGTTTGTCAATGAGTTTATCACCATTCCTGTCCCATTGACTAAATGTCGTGTCGTAGTCAAGCTTACTCAAAGTAGCGCCTGGGTTGATGATGTCACTGGTTTGCATCATGTGACTGTTAGCAAGTTTGATCAGCTTGTCGCATTCTTCTTCTGACAGGAAATCTGGTATTTCTAAATGGGGTTACAATGTACATTATTTTAGATGAACTGATAAGTGATACCTGGTTTCATAGGTGGTTGGATGGTTGGGTGAATAGATATTCAACATGTAAGGGGATGGGCGTGAATGGATACGTGATGAAAGATGACTGGACGTACCATATTATGTGGATGGTTGTATATGGTTGATTAATCGGATAGATGAATGAAAAGATGGTTATTTCGGATGAGCGAGTAGACAGGTCATGGTTATGGATTGGTTGATGTGTGGATGTTTTATTGGCAAGGATGGTTAGTTAATCATAGACCTATGGGCTGGTTAATTGTTAGTTAGCAATGCAGGTCAGTTGTTGGGGTGTTTTAGTAGATGAATGATGCATAAGGTGTCGTCTGGATGTTGTAATGAATGGTAGTGTGGATAGGACATGTTCAGTGGTTTAAAGCTGCTCTTGTGCAAAGAGACAACGTGCCTCCCACCAATATTACTTTGTTATATTTATTAATATATATATATATGTATTGACATGTATTGACATTATTATGGCGATTGAGGTGTGAACCTTGTTAACTGACATGCAGTGACAGTTACCAAATATAGGAGGCGAGAGACTAATCGTCTTGACAAGATGAGGGTCTGTGTTCGATGTCAACTGAATCGGTTGCACGTGGCCTACCTATATAAGAACAGACATCGTCAACTATTAACTCACTGCTCACTTCAATTGTTTGGAGTAATTTAATTAAAATCATGACGTGTATATCAATCTTGCAGTCGTTAGTCAATAGTTTTATCGTTTTCTTGCTTTTAATTCTTGCTTATTTGCTTATTAAAACGTTAACCTATCTATATTTTAATTTTAGTAAAGAAAATTAAATACTTAAAAGTATTTAGTTCTCACTATATAATGACTACATAGCGAGCTCTGTCCTGCATCTCCTTACCTTTATTCCATCGAGTCTTGGCAGCCGCGTTCTTCTGATCACACAAGGTCCATCTAGTACCATCAATTTTGTTGACTTCTCTGTTAAACTTGACGTGCTTTTACTGGCCGTGTTAGAAAGAATCATAAAAGAACAAGAAAATAAAAAGCAGCGCCAAAAATGTTGTCTTTGGGCCATGTTTGACCATATTTTATAGCAACATTCATTATTTTGATATATTGTTATCGTATCGAAAGGGCTGTAGTGAAGGTACCTGCTGCAACAACGTGCTTTTGTCTTGAAAGTTTGCAGTGATGAACTGGTACCTGTTCAAAGCTCGAGTCACTAGTACTGGGTTTGTCTTGGGTTACCTGTGGCGCGATAATTTACTTGGTTCCCTTTGGGGCAGCATTGATTTGATATAATATAGCGATACCTGTGGCTTGATAATTTCCTTCATTGCCTTTAGGGTGCCTCTGTTTTGACATACTAGGTGGCGTTAGGATACGTGTGGCTTGATACATCCATCTGCTCTTCCGAAAATATCTTTGCAATGGCTATGATATAAATTTAGGCACTGCCTAACAGCGGAGCTCTCATTGTTTAGACACAATTGTTAAAGGCGAAAAAAAAAAAAAAAGGAAAAAAGGTTAACTATTTTTATTATTCCAGATAAAGATAATGTCCTCCATAATGAAGACCAGTGAAAAAATTCCAATCAAAATGCACAACATCTTCTCGATTCTTGGTTTTTCACCTTAATACTATCCCTGCACCTCCCACTTAGAAATTTTGACAACTGTACACAACCCACCACCTACCACGCCCTGGGGCTAGTTTTATTCTTGAAAAAAATGTCGATAAGTTTTCCATGGACGACATTTTTTACGCTTTGAATTGCTAGTTAATTTTACTCGAAAAACGAAAAATAGTAACGACAGAATCTAACACAATATCAAGGTTTAGTTTAATATCAGGTTTAGTGAAATCTACCGATAATGTCTTTCATTCAAATCAATTTTTTTTGGAGTTTTTCTTTTTTCTTTTTTTTTTTTTTCAGGAAAAAACAAAACTTTTGAACGGTAATAAAAGACGTCGTTGATAAAAAAATAAATATATATATTAAAAAATGTAAGTACTCATAACACGGTGGGAATCGAACCCACGTCCAACAAATTTTATTGCATAATTAATTCCAAAATACTGAAGGAAAAAAAAAGACTAGTGCCTTCATGCCATACCCCGAGACATCCGCTGGGTCGTCGTATGGACTTCGGACATGACGGCGATTAAGGCCCTCTGCCCTTGGGTGTACGGATTACGCAGGATAGTGTTCTAGCCGAAGCATCAGGGGAGAGACCAGCCGGCCCCCAGACCATATCTACAGCTAATCCCTTGCACTCTGCCACGCACTGGCACGTTGATTTGAAGTGGAAAATAATCTAGTCTATCTGGAGCATTGTTTTCATTACTATTGTTGTGCTAATTTCCTGAAATCGTGGCCCAGTGGAATAATCTTGGGCTTACAAGACACCGAGTCAAGCACGTTGGAGTGAAATTAGTACTTGGATGGGTGACCTAAAATTTATAGCGACTTTGCTTTTAAATTTTTTATTTTTTAATTTTTATTTTAAGATACTCAGATAGATATAGACCTTATGGATGTGTTTTTTTTCACTGATAATCCGCCATAGTATATATAAAAACCCTGGCTTTCCTGTCTGCCCATATTATATAGGTTTTAGCTCTCATTTCCCGTTTTGTTTCTGACTGTTTTAATGATTTAATTTTTGTTTATTTGTTGTCGCTATTATCGTTTCGCCTTTCTTGAATAAATCTTCGCAGGTTCGGTAAATTCGTTTGAAAATTACATAAAATATTGTACATTTAAGCGCCTTTTTGTCTTCTCCAAGTTTTGAGTCATTGAAAATTATTATTGTTCAGTCATAAAGGATGAAGCAAAAAAAACATATCTTCGTCAGTTGGAGAGCAATCTATACGAAAATTTGCAATCTTACTGTTAACAACGTTACAAATTTGATCGTAAACTCGTTCTTCCAATCAATCAAATATATTATAATGAAATTAGGGTCTATTACGCCTACAATATTATGTAAGTGAATAATGCTGGGATGTGTGCTGATTCAGATCATGCTGCGTTTGAACAAGTTTGTGAAACTCTTTTTCAGAGAGTTGAGCTTTCAGTTCATCCTTTGATAAAATAAGCTCGACAGCATGAAGCTTCGTTGGTCGAGACCCCCAGTTAACGAAGCCATAAATTTCAGAGATTACTGGTCTATCCATCAGATAGCCACAAGCCTGAAAAGCGATGTATGAAGACTCTAGATGGATATGCAGTAGATACTCAGCCAGAACACGTAGAAGGATGAATCTTTCACCTTCAATCTTTCGTCGAAGCAACGATCCTGTAACAGCACATGCTTGCTTGGTCGGCTTGCCCAGAATCACCATCAGGAGTTTCATCAGCTTTTTTGCCTGTACATCTTCGGTGTGGAAATTTGGACCATTCATTAGCCATTTCTTGACGACAAAATCATAGATGACGTCACAGTGCTTTTCATGAAGACGACCAGCCCATAATAAGCACTCCATGTATGCCGGGTTTGTAAGGTCTTTTTGGAATTCCAAGGAATTAGCTGGGAACCCAATTTTGTCCATTGAATTAGGATGGAATGTTAAAAACAAGTTAAAGACAGCAAGAATCACCGCGCTGTTTTCTGTGACTTTCATATTATCCCTGTCTAGAGACTTTTCTATCATCCCAAGTATACTTGTCGTTGTTGGAACTTCGTTAGGTAAACTGCTTTCTTTAGAAGTGAAGTTCTGAAGATTGGATTCTTGGGACGCCTTGTGCACGAGTTTGCAAACCACTTCTTCAACTGCAGATTCATTCACTGCACTTCCCTTTCTTAATCGCATTAGAATATAGGCCAATGCCATAACAAGAAAATTATACTTACAAACCTGAAGAAACTTCTTAGAATCATCTTTGAGAAGCTGTGAGAGCGGGACATCAAAGAACACAGGTATAGATTGGTTGGCCTCGATGTATCGACACAGTGACATTGTAAAATCAGATTTGATGTCTCTCAGGACTGCACATACACTGAAGATTTCTTCTGAGGATCGATGAGCAATCATGTTATTCTTACGAATGAAATAGTTCGGCAAAAATCCATCGTTGTAAAAGGCAATGAGAGAATCAAGAAGTTCAATAATATTTACTTTCAAACTCTGGTTTTCCAGCATTTTCAAATCACTTTTTTCCAGGAACCAAAAAAGTGTGGTTTTGAGATGATACGACACAAAAACATCGAGTTTTCTTTGCTTCATTTCATTTTTGATAATCGCCTTAAGAATTGAGTATGCTAGTTTTTGATTGTCCGTCATCGATTGGACCAGCTTTAACTCAACCACCGAGAAGGAAAATCTCCACTCAAATTCTCTTAAATTACCATTGTGAGAAGCAACAGGAACAACGTGACATCCCTGGCTTACTGAAGCAGATATCAATTCCTTGCTTGGCCATGCAAAAGATCTTTCCCGATGGATCCATTCCTGTGCCTGTAAGGGCCAAAAGTTACACTTCAAGCCGTAAACAAAGTCGCGACTAATATTGAACGACCCTCCGTTAGTGTAGAGAGAATATGATGGCCCAGTAATTTTGCCTTCATTCAGGGCCATCATTGTAGTGCGACTGATAGGAATTATAGTTCGACAGTTTTCAATAAATTCTGCAGTTACTTGGCAATGTTTCTGTATTGATTCAGTATCAACTGGACAAGTTAACTTCTTATTCGAGACAAAGGCATACCCAGCGTGCGATCCGTCATAAACATACTGGATATTGTTATTAATATCCGCAGACGAATGATTTGGGTTTCTTTCAGACGCTTTTGCTGAAGGCTTGATCTTTTCTTCCGCATTCGAACTTTTAATAAACTTGTGTACTTCCCCATTATTATTGTCTGCTTTTACGTGTACTTCGTCACTGCCAACCTTTTCGTAGATGTCTGCTATTTCACAGTTATTCTCAAAAGCCACGTCAACCTTGTTTGCTGCTCCATTGTCAAGTACATCCACAGAATTATTCACATCTATGTTGGTGCCTGCTTCAGTTCCGACGGTGGTTTCAGCTTGTGTCGATTGCGATGTTTCTTGCCCCGAGCCTTCCATTACTTCTACATCAGTTCTTATAATCATGTGATCAGCGTCGGTATTCCAAAGCATAAAATTCTCGATATGAGGCAAAGAAAGTTGCTCAAAGCCACTTCCCGTATGAATAATTTCGACATTATTATTCTCAACGCATCGTTCCAAATCAGCTGCAAGTCTACCGATTTCGTCCTTCATATCATCTTTAAAGATGTTGAAAAATGATACCAAATCGAGAGCCGAATCCACAAGAATATTTTTGTTGACTTCCATATTTTACTGACTTACCTTAGCACATACCAGCAACTCACTACCCCTTGAATCGAACAGTAATCTTGAGCTGAACAGTTTGACGCTGACCTACAGGATTGTTAGCACTGAGAATATTTGTTTCTCTGCGTTGTGTGACACTTAACTTGGAGTTAATTTACATCATAACCAGACGTATGAGGTCAAATTTGGACACCGTTTAAGTTGTATCTTCTTAGAAATTGTGCATACACGTTATAAGGATTATTGGGAGAGGATTATAATTACTATTTTCCTTTCTTTTCAGATCTTATCCAAAAAACAACTGCAGTCAGGCTGCCAAAATATTTTTTGTTTGTTTTGTAAACCTTCTTTTCGCAATGCAAATTGTTTAGCTTTGTTAGCTTGTTATTCTGAAATTAAATCCAAAGCTCTGTGTACTGACATAGGTCTTTAATGTGGTGAATGAATTGTGAAATAATGAAATAAATGATAAAAGTTTCTAAGTGAGCGAATGAAATTCTCAGATTGCCTAATGGAATTATTGAACTTATCGTTGCTATAAAATGTGAGTTAGCCAGGTTTTTTAATTATTATCTTATTTATTTTACTTTTGTTTTATAAAAAACTATTTTCAATATAATCAACAATCTCTCAAACTCGGCTAGCGGAAAAAAAAACAAAAAACAAAAAAAACAAAAACAAAAAAACAAAACAAAACACGAGACGGTTGTTTGGCCGCATTTATTGTCTTAAACTATCCAGCATAAAACTTGGCCAGCTTTAATTTTGCTTTTATTCCTACCAAGAAAATCACTCACCAAGAAGAAAGTTATTCTTGTACTAAAAAGAAACATACATACATAGTAGCTCACATGGTTATAGTATTTTCAAAAATATAACCAAACTAAATGAAACAAAGCATTTCCTCTATTATGGGGCTTACTATTTATTCAGGGCTTTTGGACTGGGGACTTAGAGACTGGGGGCTTATTTTGTTTCCCCTGATCTTTGCATGCTGGAAATTCATAATCTTGACAGGTGAAATGACTTGAAAAGACCACAACATTACTTAGGGGTGGGGGCTTATTAGAGGCTGGGGGCTAAATTAATTTTTGGTGCCTCAGACTGGGGGCTTATTAGAATGCGGAGGTGATG